TCAGCATTAACATAATATCAACCAATTTATTTTATAGAAATTTTTTGTTATCTAAATTATGTTAATTAAATAAATGTTTAGAACCAGGCATGATGGCACTGTCTGCAATCAACTCAGGAGCCTGAAGCAGTAAGGTCACTGCAAGTTCAAGATCAGCCTGCAGGACACAGTGAGGATCTGAATTAAAAAAAAAAAAAAGTAATGAATTTCATAGACAACTATGTGGAAAACTGGTTATCAGAACAATATAGCAACTTTGTAATATAAAACTATACATTGTATTACCAACATTTTAAAACATTACAACATGAAATGTTTTTAGGTGAATTTCATTAACGTTTCCTTTCAAATCATATAATGTTGTTTGCATAGCAAAAATAATTTACATGATTACAAACTTGTCAGTAAACCATATATAATGTCTATCTTCCCCAGTAATATTGGAACTGATGTTATCTTTCTAAATTGAAAACACACACAATATAGAAAATATAAATAGTAAATATTCACTAAAGAATTATTTCCCATCAGGCATTGAAGTAATTTTTTCATCTGCATGGAAATAAGCAGCCTTATTTCTTATCAGTATTGTAAACAGTACAATATAATATTTTATACATCAGTACAGTTTATTAATATAAATAATGTAGTGGTAAATTAATGCATAGAGAAAGATGTGCATGGGTTGTGCACAAATATTGCATCATATTTTACAAAGGACTAGATTATCTGCATACTACTGGTATGTGTGTTCAGTCTTATAGAGACTCTAGGCATATATACTAATGTCTCACTATGGTTTTAACATGAAATTTAAATTAATCAATATTTTTCTGTTTCTCATCATTCTAAGCTCTTCAGTAAATTATTTTTGATACTCTATCATTTTATTTTCATTTTTATTGCCATACCTTTGCAGTATGCACCACCACTATAGAAATCAGTGCCGAAAGTCCTAAAAAAAAGAAGGAATTACATTTCATCCATAAATACCTCTTTCAAAGCCTGGCATGGTGGTGCATTCCTGGAATTCAGCTCTCAGAATGCCGAGGCCCGAGCATCATTCCAAGTTTGAGATCAGTCTAGATTGCAAAATGAGTTCAAGGCCAGCCTGAACTGCCTAGAGAGATACTGTCTCAAAAAGACAAAAAGATAAATAAGTAGATAAATAAATGCCATCCCGGAATCTTCCCTAAAGTGTTAAAACATTCTATTGTGATATACACATACCCATGTTGATGGCATCACAATTCATGATAGCTAAAACTTGGAGGTGACCTACATGTCTATGGTGTCTATATGCCATAATGTACTATTGTGACACAAAGAAGGATAACCATGAGTCATGTATGGGAAAACAGACAAATCTTGAGATTACATGTTTCAGTAAAATAAATCAGACATGAAGGCTTAAATATTACATCGTTTCTCTTAAAATCATAAATACAGAGCAGTTGAAAGAATGATTACTGGAAATGGGCAGATACGTATTTGCAAAAAGGAAGAAGACCAAGAGATGGATGGCATTAATGGGTGTAAAAAAAGAATTAGATGTGATAAATATTTGTACTATGTCTCCCACAGTGATAGTAATCATTATGCACTGCAAACACACACTAAAACCATATTAAAAGCTCGATTCAATGCATCTAAATATTATTTAAGTTTTCATGAACAACATACACTACCCTTTGTTTTTCTGAAATATCACTCTTACTCTTCTCATTTTCCTTCTCTTCCTCCTCCTCTTCCTTTGGAGAAGAGCTATCACTATGTAATACAGGTTTACACTGAACTCATTTTGTAGCCTAGGATTATGCTGAAGTCACACTGATATTCCTGTCTCAGCCTTCAGAGAGCTGGGATTACAGACCCCGATTTCACATCCAGTGAAATGGTCAATTTTATATAAAGACAGCTGGATAAATTGCTAAACCTCTTCTCATTTTTCTCCAATTTTACATATTTTTTATGTTTTGAGATGCTCATTTAACTGAACTTTGAGTTTCCAATTTGAATGTACCTTCCAAATTTATTCATAAACGTAACTTTCCTTAAGTATAGCAGGATCTTTTCTGACCTAGAATTTTAATATATTCCTTTGACACTGGATATTTATCTACTCAAAGTCTGTCTCCACTGGTTATTTTGACATATCACCAGTCTGTACCTGATAACATGTTATTACCTCTGCCAGAGTCACAGGATCCACTAAGATGTGCTGCTGCTTTTTCTGCCCATTTATGGCTCACTTTACAGATTTGGGTCTCCACGACCAGTGCTCATCTTGCATTTGCCAAAAGATTCATGACTCCTGAAAATCAGGATCAGGAGTGAATTGGCTGACAGAAATTCATGGCCTTCTTGAGCCCAGGCAGAAGGCTATGGACAGTCTTTACCTCCCTTGCACAAATACAGAAGTTCAAAGCATCTTATAAAGGAGGGGGGCTTACCCAAATCCCTGGAGGTTTTTCATTCCATGGGAACAAAATGATCTACCAGTCTAGTGCAAACCTTCCTTTGGAAGGGAAGATAAACTCACAGGACTTTCCTAGGAGCTATCTTTTGCTGATACCATTCTGTGTGGTATCCTGCCTCTCTTTAACCTCTCCTTGCACACATGGAATAGAGCCTTGGTAAGGTCTCCTTCTATGAACCTCATCTATATTTTCATGATACCCAGTGGATCCTTCAGCTCCCTAAAGCTCCTTCCTCCAGCTGTTAGGAGTGTTGTATGCTTATAGATTCCAGCTGATGCACCCTCTGGAAACAACTTTGCAGTTAAAAGTCTTTACCCCTCCTTTATCACATCTTTACCTTGGAGGGCCAATGCAAAGGTTTTGCTTGTTACACAAGTATAACACACACTTTGCCAAAACCTGAAAAGTATCTGGGAGACCCTCTCATCATACCTCCATTAATTCACTAAGGAAGATCTGAAATCTTTATCATGACTACACTACATGTCAGTGTATCCCTTTTTGACATCCTCTTGCCTCTCTTCTTGATAGATCATTATAAATAAAATCCCTGAAGGAGACTTTCCAACTCAAAGACCATTTTCTAAGAAGCCCAACACGGGATAGTTACATTGAAAGTAAATAGCTGATGACCTGGCAAATATATATTTTCTCATTCATATCAAGAAAGAAAATGTAAAAAAATGACAGAAAATCTAATGTAGTATACACTCATACAAGTGATACAGGGTACTTTAAAGCTTTTGTCCTATGGCTACTCTAACTTCCACTTCAAATACCTCGGGATGTATATACATTCTACACACTCCATTGAAGGGACCATGTTAAGCAATACATAAATGGAAGAGTTGATAAGTTCAATGAATGATCTACATAGGAGACAAGCAGTGAAATTTCAGGAGTCCATCATATCATGAGGTCCTAGGGGAAATTTAGCATGTGCCAAGATATGAGAAAATATTCCTTCCACAGGAATTGCAATGATTGTGTTTCACAGTGCACCCTCATACTGAATGGGGCTCATCAACTTCTGGAAGATATGGTACAGGACTGAGAGCACTGCTCCCACAGATTATTAGGTGGTTACTGGGTTTAAGAGGCCAGAGAAGAAAGATGCTCTGAAACTGTGATGTAGACAGTTCTGCCATGGGAGCCATATGAGCACACACACACACACACACACACACACACACACACACACACACACACGGGTTTGGGTGCCAATATTTGTCAAGTTTTCAGGGAAAATCAGTGTATTCCTACACTATTTTGAAAAAACAGAAAAATTTGAGGGGTAATTGAAATATATAGTCAATGTTTATACTTTTTTGTACATTTAGTTATGTTTCCATAAATCTCTCCTTTGTTTTAAATACTTACTGTATCATCCTTACCACTTTTTAAACTAGTTTTGTAAGTTCACTTTCGTTTCTCATTGATGAGGCTGTTATGACTGCTCAGTGTCCTCAATGCATTAATGACTTTCACAATTATGATTGTTTTCAGTAGAAATCACCTGGAGTCAGAGCTACAGGAGAGGTGGATTAAGGACACACCATAAAGCATGTCTCTCTGTGGGCCTGCATTTCTGCATAAATGATTATAGTTTCATCAAAACTTGTAAACTTTAACTGAAGAAGATTTTCGGAAAGGGCAAGAATGATCAGAGAAGTGAATCTGAGGGAAGGAGAAATATATTGAAGAGTGTGTTTTTTATTTCATTAATTTTAAACAATTCACCATATTTTTCAATAACACCACATAGACATCATTCAGAAATATGTTCAGAAATGCATCAGGCCTGATATATTGTGTCAGTGATCTTATGAGAGCCAAATTTGGTGGCACTTCCCTTCAATCCCAACACTGAGGAGGCTGAGGCAGGAGGATCACTGTGAATTCCAGGCTAGTCTAAGATACAAAGCAAAATCAAGGTCAGTCTGAACTACATACTGAAATCCTATCTCAAAAAGATGAAAAAAATTAAAAATATGCTCTCATTAAGTTGCACATTGTTAGGTGAGTTTCCAAGGAATTTTAATTGAGAGACCAAAACAGTGCACAATATCAGCTTCTCTACTCAAGGGATCTGATGTCTATGACCTGGAGGAAGCAGTAAATTATTCAGCTCTCCACTGCCCAGAATGTCTCCATCCAGGTTCCACTGAAATCGCAGGCAGTGAACTTGAGGTACTGAAAAAACGGAAACCTCCACTTCTAAGGAAAAGTGTTTATTGAGTAGGAAACTGCAGGAATACATCATCCCATCAGTGCTATTTTTATTGCTGACACTAGAGGGCGAGAGGAGCCTAGCCCTGGGACAAAAGTTAGCAACTCAAAATCTTTGTAGGTTGTAGTTCCTTGGTCAAATACTCACTGTTCCTTAACTCAGTAGGTGTGACCTGAACCAGCTGCTGAACTCTGTGGCAGGGGAATCTCATTTGCATGAAAACCCTGCCCACCACCTCCAGCAAGGTGGTAAGAGTTATAATGAAAGCTGAAGACTGCTTCTTGTACTAAGCAGACTTGTAAAGCACAGCCCTGGCTGTCTGCACCATGGCCTGGGCTCTTCTGCTCATACTTCTGGCTCACATCACAGGTCAGCAGGGATTTTCTGCCTGGGGCTGTGGAAGGCCACACTGCTGCCTCTGTCTCCTCTCCTGACCATCAGGTTCCTCACTTATTTTCAGGGGCCAAATCCCAGGCTGTGGTGACTCAGGAATCTTCACTGTACATCTCTCCTGGAGGGACAGTCACACTCACCTGTGCTTCCAGTACTGGGGCTGTCACAACCAGTAACTATGCTGCCTGGCTCCAACAGAAACCCTATGAAACACCCAAGGGGATAGTAGGTAATACCAGCAACCGGATCTCTGGTGTTCCTGCCCGATTCACAGGCTCCTTGCTTGGAGCCAAGGCCTCCCTCACCATCACAGGAGCCCAGAATGAAGATGAGGCCACCTATTACTGTGGCTTGTGGTACAGCAACCATTTGCACAGTGAGGCATGCCTATGGGGAAGTGAGACACAAACACCCTTGTGCAGACTCACCATATGTTCCTCAGCATCTCTTTCACGCAAACACAAGACCAGGAATACTATCTGCTACCTGAGAGAGATTTTCTTCGTGGGACTTCGAAGGGGAACTTGTGTTGCAACCACGGCAGCAACTCACAAAGAATTTCGTCTTCACCCATTTATGTGTCTTGCAATCCTTAGTCAGAGTGAGAATTTTATGGAGTGTAGAGATTTTTAGGGCTCCTGAATTAATCTCTTAGGAGATGTTCAGAAACATCAGTAGTCAAAGTCTCATGTTGTCCTGAACCTCAGTAAGCAAAGTGCTTGAGGCCTCCTGAGGCCTCCCGTGTTGGAGACCACAATGAAGTGGCTCTCAGCAGAATTTAAAATTAACTAATTGGATTTCTATGTTTGTCTGTATGTTTCTATGTTTATCTGCATGTTTGTCCTAGACCTAGCTGCCTGCTGATGCAGCTGATTCATAGTAAGTAAACCTCTATGAATCACTGGTCCTGGCTGAAGACTATAGTTGCCTGTGAGGCTAGAGATACCTCAAAGGGCAAGATAAGGCCACAGCTGAGGACACGTTGGCTCTTGTACTAATTAAGTAAATAAAGACTGCAGCTGAAAAATCTCACTCCTGCAGTCACACTCCTACCATAAATGTCATCTTGGAGATAAGTCAGTTCTCCTAAATTGGCATCATTTACTACTTGGAGAAGTCTTTGAAGAAACTCTGAAGGTCCTGCTCATTTCTTGCACTTTCCTTAGTTCCCCCAATCTTTGTTTTGGACCTAAAAATATGGGCAGTCCAGAGAAGTCTTTGTCTTAGCCCCCAGAGTCTCCAATTCAATTAAATGGTTTTGACCCTCTTGGAACCCTAAAATCATACCACTTGTCTCATTTTATTGAAGCCTTTGCGGTTTAAGAAACTGGGGATCTAGGTCAAGACCCAATAGTCCAGTATGTATTTCTTGGTTTCTCCAGATGTCCTGGGACCTGCAAGATTTCTTATCATATCTTCTCTCTTATGACATCTAGTGTTGTCCAGTGACATTCCAAGTGTTGTGCTGTGTCCCCACTGAGACAATGCCTCTGCCAGCAACACGTTGGTGCTGGGTGAGCAATGTCAAGTTTGAATCCTACAATAAATGTTATTTCTTAGGTTAACTTTATAAGCCTTTCCTTTAAAATCCTATGGTATCATTTACAATCCTAAAATATTTACCTGATAACATACTTACAACTAAGTTTTATCCATTTTCCCCAAAAAGTAATGGGATAAATTTTTAAATTTCAAATGAGAAAATATAAATAGGAAATATTCACTGAAAAAATATTTGCCATCATTCATAAACCACTTTTTTCAGCTACATGGAGCTATCCAGCTATTTTTATTGTCAGTATGCCCTACAGTACAGTTTAATAATTATTTACAAAATATTTACATTTGGTTACATAGTATAAATACTATAATGGTACTTTAAAGTACACAGGCAGATGTGCGTAGATTATGTACATGTAATATACAACATTGTATAATGGATTTGGGACATCTATGTATTTGGGAAAACACAGAGCTCACAACACCCAACATCACTGGCAGGAGAGCAGGATCCTGAAGTCAAAATCCTACAACCAATTGTACTAAGGTTTTTGGTACATGATTCATATTTGTCCATGACACCAAAGAAATAAGCCTCAAGCACTGAGGGGGACATAAAAGGATCATCCCAAAGCCATCAGAAGCTGCAGGTGCTCAGCAATACCTGGAAAACCCACCCTATGGCCTGCGTATATCTGCTCCTCCTTCCATCTCTCCTTCCTCTCTGCCCAGATTTATACAGATTTCACACAGCTGCCGTCAGTGCAACTTCTCTGTCGTTCTTCCTCATCCCCCATGTGTGCTGATTTTTATTTGGGGATCCAGTTCTCAGGCTATGATGATCCTGGTTCCTTCAAATATTCTATTTGTCAGAAAATCGGATATTTTCACTATGGCTGCTGTTTTGTAGAAAGCACAGATGGTCGGAAATTCATGAAACTCTCATAACAATTTTTGATACAAGCACTATGCACTCCTAGTCACCTGTCAGATCTGCATGCTCCTTCCCATGACAGAGTCCACTTAACACCCTTGAGATGCAGCCTTAGGATGAGGCTGAGCACTGTCATACGCTCTGTGACAGCTCTGCTCACACAGGAAGACCCAGACTGGAAATTAAGACATATACCCAGGTTATACTAAGTCTGAATACCAAGAGGAACATGTGACTGGACTATAAACACTTGGGCAGTGCTTGACACTGTTTGATGTTTGAGCAGAAGGAGAAGGATATGGGTGAATTGTTCCACTTGACATATTTCATACAAAAACAGAATTTAGTCATTTAATTTTGTTTCCTAAGAAAACAGTGATTGTGCTTTATGATCTGAAGACTGAAGTCATTGTATTTTCTCTTTTCAAAAGTAGCTTCAGTAATGTCTTTTTCACAACTAAGAGAAAAGAAAAGCTGTCTTCCAAACTTAAGATGTTAATATAAATTACATTTTATTAATCTTCATTTTACTACAAAGGAATTGAATGACTTTTTATAATTTTATAGACAATTTTATAGACAATTTTTATAATTTTATAGACAATCCAACAATAACAACAACAGCAACAACAACAAAAACAAAGCATATCAGAACAGAACAATGCAAGCAACACAACTTCAAAACAAGTCAAAAGGAAATCAGCAGTGACTACCATAATATCTCTTGCTTTCTTCTAAACAGTTGTCCTTACCTACAAACACAATAAATTCAAACAAAATAAAATAGTATAAAACCAATTAAAACAAAAGAATGAAAGTGTTAAGGGCCTTAACCACCACACAATAGAAAATCAACAATGGCTACCATAAGGCCTCTTACTTTCTTTTAAATAGCTGTCCATACCTTCACACATATTGAAATCAAATAATGACTAAAATCAATTGAAACAAAGAATTCAAGCATTATTGGAGTTCAAAACAAGATGTCAGGAAATCTCCAATGGCTACCATAGTATCTCATTTTCATCCAAGTAGCTGTTCATAATTTCACACGTAATAAAATCAATTCTTATAAACACTTTAGGAGAAGATCTCAGTGTTTGTAAGCCTATACAAATACATCTATCCTTTCTGTATTAGAGGGAACAACAAAAGAAAATACAAAAAAAAAAAAACAAGAAAGAAAAAAAAGAGACAAAAAGATAACAATAACAGAGAGCCCGAAACTAACAACACAGGCTTTAAAAACAAGGGAATAACATCTTTAAAATATTAAAACCTATGAAAGTTTGGGAAAAATTCTTCTTTACTAATGTTATGCAGCAAAATCTCCCTATAGAAGACATGATGTGGTGCCACTGTTAAGTAGCACATAAACTGATCTCTTTAAAAATTAGTATTATTCCAGATGTCAGAACATGATGTGATACTAGAGTAAGTATTAATGAAGACATTGTGTCTGGAGTCTACATAAGCAGATTCTCTGCAGAGACAGGGTTACATACATGGAACATCATGAGAAAACAGAGAGAGATACTGACCTTATGCAACAGTAAGTGAAGGAGCACCAAAGGCCACCACAACTGGGACTCAGATAGAGGGAAAAAAGTAGTCTGCTAGAAGTATCATGGGGAACATGGCCCTACCTGGGGGTTCTGGATGACTGACCTCCAGAACTATGTGTTGAATCATGATTTTCTGTGGCTACTGTCCAGTAAGTTTCTAGCATTTTGTTTATTGTAGTTCATTGTCAAGATCACTTATTAGTATGATGTGATTTTTTTGTTTGTTTGTTTTTGTCCTAGGCCAAGGCTCTGTGGTTACCCTACCAGAGACCCAAATCTCAGCTCTTTGTATTTATTATTGTGGGACAGGGTCTCATTAGATTGACCAGAATGTGAAAGAATTGTCCTGTGCTTCTGCACAGCTGGATGGAAAGAACTATTCACACAAAGTGTGACAGGGCAGAGCATTTGGCCCAGACTCACCTGCACCCTGAGTAGTGAGCATAAAGCCTATGGCACTGCATGGTTTCAGCAGTGCCCACGGAAGGCTCCTCAATGTGTGATGTGGGTTAAGAGAGATGGAAGCTTCAATAAGAGGATGGAACAGTGTCTCCATTGAAATAAGACTTTCCTGTACCTTGGACCTCAAGGTTCCACAAGCACTGGCTCTGACTCTGTTTCCTTTTTTATTTATTCGTGACCCTTGTTATTATTGTCATCATTGTTGTTCAGGTCTCATGGACAGGAGGTACAGATAGACAATCACACAGCAAGAAGGAATTTACATGAAAAACTTGTACATAAAGATTGTTTGGAAGATAAATAGAAAATTGAGGAAAAGGAGGACTGAATAATAAAAATAAAGAGAAAACTATTCTCATTTCTATGGAATCTCAATCAAGGAATTGTGTCCAATCCACTGATTTAAAGAGACAAGTCACTGAGGGACAACAGAAAAGGTGGTGAAGTGCATACTTCCTCTGTCCTTTCTTGTGGACATTGAGGCACCAGAGGTTGGTCATCCATTCATTTACCATCTCTCTCTACTCTGGGTGTCCTAAGTCACACTGAGTTCCAATATTTGTGTGTTAAATTTTCTTAAGATTATGTATCTCTTGGTCTGTCTGTCTGTGTCTGACTGTTTCACTGCTAGTCTATCTATATATATGTATGAGATCTGTATTCAGTTGTCAAATATTTAACTCAGAAAGAAAATCCAAGCTGTATGGTATTTGCATGTTGCAAACCTGCAAAAATGTACTTCACAATGATTATATAAATAGGAGATAGCCAAAACTGACTCAAGATATTATAAATGTAATGACCCACAATCAACATGAACAATATTATATGTGAAAATTACAAAGAAAAAGGATTTTTATCATAAATTCAAACATTCTTCACATAGTAGCAAGTGTAACCTATGTTCTATTACTAACATTTCCCTGAACTATCAGGAAGGAATTGAGCTAAGAGCAGGACTCCTGAGAGGTTCCTGAAACATATTTAACATTTGAAAAGAGTTCAAATGAGAGGAGGCAATAAGTCATGGGAGCTTTGGGCTCCCAGTGCTAGATCCTCATATAATGTCAGAGGCTCATGGCAAGGGAATCTCTGGTGCTGTAGCCATGGCCTGAAGCAGACAGAAACTTGGCCTTGCAGATGAAAAGCATGGTCTCAAATCAAGCTCACACTTGAGCAAGCACCATCATCCAATATCTACCAAGACCATTTTCCTCTGTTGTCCACCATTTCTGCATATAGATGGAATCCAGGATCATGGAATTAAACAGCCACGTGCGTTGACCAATCCCTGCATTTGCCACTGGTGACCAAGTGCTGGAACAAAAAGTACAGATAATTATTTGAGCGTGACAAAATTTCTTCTTGAGTGATGAAAACTGAAGAAATGGATCATGGTATGGAACATGTAACACCAACAATTTGTATGCATAAGCGTAATTTAACTCAAACATTCTTTTGCAGTGCATCGACCTGTGTGTGTTTACTAGACAGGAACCCTACCACTGAGCTGTACTGAGTAGCCCAAATTTTATATCAGGTATCACGTACAACAATTTTGAAAACATATTTATAAATTTCAAACTATGTAAAAGCAAGATATGCTTACAAACGTATCCTCACAAACACTATCACTGAGCTATATTTACAGTCCAAAATTTTAGATTTTGTGTATTTTACAAATAACAATTAGTAGTTAAACTTAAAACTATGTATAAATATACTTTCAAAATATCATTCGCACACAAATATTTTACCGTATTTTAGCTGATGCTCATCATTTACAAAAATAGCATTAAGATTTGTGGGAGACTAAACTATAGGATAAGAGGAGTCCTTGTTGAACTTCCCAAGGGACTACAGAGCGGGTGAAAGACTGCCCCCTCCTCTGTTTGCATGGAGAAATGCAGCCGCCCACAGAACCCCCTGGGCAGAGCAACATGGACCTCTGAGGCTCAACAAAAAATTATATATGTGGATATAAAGTTATTATATTCCTTCTTAATCATTTACTTTCTTAAATTTTAGATTTCATATTTGCTACATTGCCTTGCTTTACTAATAAAAACAGAATTTTCTAGAATCTTACAAAGCTTGTCCTCTAGAGAAAGGGTCCCTGGTCCCAACTGACCTGAAGTTTATCTCTTTGTCTTTAATTCCTTGTTGCACTACCTAGCTCAGTTCACAGGCTGGCTCCTGCACTGAGTGTTGACTAAATTTGTTGTCCACAATTCTTTTCTGAAACCACCAGGCCTCAAGTTTACTTTATCTGGTAACAAAGGCTTAAAAAATAATAATAGAGTTGATGAGATCCTAAAAGTGAAAGCTTAGTTTAATAAGGTAGATGTTCTTATAAGAAACACTGGCACAGAGAACATTGAAGGTGGTAAGGCAATTTGAAGACACTGAGAGATATTGGTCATCTGTAAGCCAAGAAACAGGATCTGAGAGGAAACAAACCTGCTGTCACGTTGTCTGGGCTTCCAGCCTCCAGAACTATGAAAAATAAACTCCTGCTGCTACAGTCATCCAGTCTGTGATCTCAGTTTATGACAGCTTTAGGGAATCATTAAAATGGTTTACTATTCTAATTCCCATTAGTTCAATTACTGTGACTTTTTTGTCAATAATGCCCTTGTTTGGAAGTCATCTTTAGTAACAGTGAGAGTAAGTGCAGACAGTAACATTTTTCTCCAATAGCACCAGACAGGACTTCTTACCCTGAGACTTACTCATACTCTTAGATGTATTTACATCTGTCCCTCCCCTACTACCACTCTCTTTCCTGACCACCTCTATCTGTCAAATCCACGCTCAGCGATAATCGCACCATTCAGACACGCAATTCACAATTAGTGCTGTTTGGAAATACCAGCCTTAAACTCTGGCTCTCTAGCTTTCATCCCTGCCAGGGTGAGGGAATACTTTTCCTCCCACCAGATGGCAGTGTTGGCTGTGTTGTCAAGAGCATGAAGGATGTTTAAGAAAGTCCCCCAGGCTCTATATGAGACATATTTCTGCTCCAAAATCTTAGATTAGTTTTGGAGAATTATTCCAGCCTTTACTTTAGATATTGATTCTCACCCTCATTTTCAAAGTCCTTCACATGATAGACATGCATTAACAATAAACTATATGAACAGCCAATATAGCAACAGAACAGTCCATATTTCACAGTGTACTTAATAAAACCTGCCCAATCCTAAAGCAACCAGTGTGACATTTCCAACATGCAGGAAGGTCCCTCCACAGCCTTCAAGCTGATCTTCATATGAGAGATCACCTCATGTAGACTAAGAGACAGGTATTTCCACAAGTGTACCAGCCATGCTGGGATTGGGGACACAGCCACATGGAGTTACAAATGAGGTCGGGAGTACAGTGCACACATCTCCACAGGGCTTTAACCTAGAATCTGAGAGTAGGGGGAGGAAAGCAGAATCCTCCATATGCCATCATCTTCTTTGTACTACATTGTCCTTCCCTAGCTTCACTAATACAACATTGTATGAAAATGTATTTCTAAATTATAGATATCTGAAGAAAGGGAAATTATCAGGATCAAACAGCAATAAGTGACAATTTGAAGACTTAATTGATTTTTTATTTCCTGTGTAATGTTAGTGAGTTTACCACGAAGACTTACTTACACAGAACGTCATGAAGATAAACTCAAATATGGGACAAAAAAAAAAAAACAAGAAAAAATGAGTCCTTTCTCATACATAGATTTGAGAAAATGAGATTTGTGGTTAACAGTCACATTAACTATAGTAAATATCTTTCCTATGGGTGAGTTGCTGGCTGTTTCCTTGGGAGTCATCAAAGACAACCATGGGCAACACTCAGCATTAGCTGATGATGTGAGCAGAGGTCTCCAGTAAAGAACCAAATATGCACTGAGCAGGGGCTACCACATCTCTCACCTCTCCTCTCCTCTCCTCTCCTCTCCTCTCCTCTCCTCTCCTCTCCTCTCCTCTCCTCTCCTCTCGTCTCTTCTTTTCTTCTCTCACTTCTCTTCTTTTTCTAGTGTCACAGATGAGCTCTGACCCAAGTGGCCACATCAAACTATTTACTGAGTAATAGTTTACAGACTGTGCCATGCTAAGATGCAATTGGGAAAGGTGTCATGGACAGGTTCCAGAATTAGCTGATAGAGCCACTGCATCCCACTGTGGGCCACCAGAGGAGCAAAATAATTGTGGCAATAACAAGAAATTTCAGAAATGGAGGATGAGGTGATTGAAATGCACACACTTGTGCTCCACTTAAAGGCTGTGGTTTAGGGGCTCAGCAAGCTTATATGAGTCCACATGGTGATATTTAAAGGTCACTAGGGATAGAAATCGGTATGAAAGGAAATCAATGTAAATTATCCATCTTAGCCACCAGCCTTGTTAAATACTAACTTTGGTAAGGAGAAGATTTGCATAGGCAAATCTGACCAGTAATGAACTGAGAGAATAAAAGGCTTGGAATTCCTGACTCAGTTTAGGGTCCGAAGGACTTATAATTGGAGCATCTTTACCATGGTTGGGCTCTTCTCTTCTTCACCATCACCATTCTCTTCACAGGTCAGGTGGGACAAATGGTCACTGCCTCCATAAAGACAATTGTTGCCCACACTCAGACACCAGCCCTGTCCTTCCCCCTGGAACAGTTCTGTCTCCCAGTGGGATTCTTAATGGAGGTCTGTGTTGCCAGGGTCTCTCTCCCAGAATTTGCTGACACAGCTGCCCTCTGCATCTGCCTCCATGGGACAGACACTCAAACTCACCTGTACCCTGAGCAGTGGCTACAGTAACTACAATGTGGACTGGTTCCAACAGAGCCAGAGCCAGGGCCCTCGGTTTGCGATGCGATTGGGTACTAGTGGTATTGTGGGCTCCAAGGGGTATGGAATCCCTGACCGATTCTCAGGATAAGGCTCTGGCTTAGATCGGTACCTGACCACCCAGAGACATCCAAAAAGAATATGAGAATGTCTACTACTGTGGGGTAAACCATGGCAGTGACAGTAGCTTTGTATGACCCACAGTGACTCAGCCAAAGGGGAAGTGAGACACAAATTTCTGACTGATCTATCCTGTGCTTGATTCCTTCCCCATTGTCCTGACTCACAGCTCAGAGAGAGCCTCCTGATCCTGCTTGAGAAATTCTTTCTTTCACTATACCATGACTGGCCTGAGAATGCAAGTGCTCAAGAACAAGCAAGGGCAGTAACATTTTAATTAGGGGCTAATGTCACCCTGAAGTCCCCTGACTCCAGCTGTGTACCAACCTGCACTGATCCCCTTATACCTGAAACTCAAACCAGAATTCTTGAGATTCCTTAAAATTGCACCTCCAACCTTAAAACATATATATATACACACATATGCAGTCCACCTTAAGATAGTCATTGATATTCACTCAGATGTCAGCCTGCCTGAAAATAGAGGAATAAAACCTGATTGTTCCACAGCTTCAGTCTCTAGGTGAGTCCTCTTGTGCCATTATTACAATAGATAAATTACAATTTTAATTACATTGTGTCCTAGGCACAAATATTTTCTTAGAAGTATTTCATCTATTTGAGGCAGATGAAGTATTTCACCTATTTGTGGCAGTTTTCAGTCACCAGTGTCCTGAAGGAATTTTATTTTACAGATGATAGAGCTGTTCACAGGTGCATTCACAGTGTAATACACATCTCTGTCTTTTGTTCCATTTTTCTGTATTTCATATTGTGGGTTTCAGTCATTTTCTCACCATGGAGACAAAATATTTAAACCCACAACCTAAAAAAAAGGAGGATTACTTGGGCCTCATATATTTTTAAGGATTCCAAGGCAGGCAGGAAATGATGGAAGGATCTGAGAAAGGAAAGGTGATCATCTAGTGGAATCCAGGAAATGAAGAGAGTGAAGAAAGAAACTGGAGAGAAAGATCCACCCTCAAAGTCCTGTCCCCAATCACCTGCTTCTAAGCAAGCTCCATACCCTAACAGCATTCAACAACTGAACTTATTAGTATATGAATCCACTGATAAGTATAGCACCCTCCTGACCTAATCTCTATCTAAAAGTCCCATATCTGATTTCATGAGAGTTCTGAAGGACATTTCAGATCTCAACCACATCAGTGATTTTGCCCAGAAAGAATAGCAATGGTCACTTATCAGGATTTTCCAGGGTTTGACCTTGACCCAGAGGGTCAGGTGCACACACATGATGCATATGAACTTCACTAAGATGGCTAGTTAACCTCATCTCCATCTGCACAGAACTCTCCAGTTATGCTGTGGTGGTGTGTGTGTGGGAATGTTAACAAATGAGAGACAGATGACCTACAGAGGAAGGTGGGCCTCTCCGAGCCTGCTCTGTACTCTAAGCATTGTGAGAGGGACTCACTGCTATTTACAGTGTGGATTTATTCATGCAGTGTTGTCAAAGTCATTGTTAGGGCTGATGCCCTTGTCTTGTAAAATGTGCCATTTTCATTTAAATAAGTCATTTTCTTTATCATGAGTCATGACCAAGATATAACTTCATATACGTTCACAAATTCCACTGTTTATACAGGCAAAGACACATATGAATTTTAAGTTACAAAGCATCTTTACCTCTCACTCTTGAGATACAGGGACAGAGAGAAAGAGAGAGAGAGAGAGAGAGAGAGAGAGAGAGAGACAGAGAGAGACAGAGAGAGACAGAGAGACAGAGAGAGACAGAGAGAGACAGAGACAGAGAGAGAAAGATACAGTACATTCAATTCCTTGTGTGCATATATTTATGTTTCTGCCTGATAAATCCCTTAGTGTGCTTTAGCAAAACATACAAAATAAATTCTTTCCCATGAGAGGAATAACTGAACCTAAGATTATTTGACAACAAAGTTGAAGTTATGTTTTTCATCAGCACTTTTAGAAACCCTGAAATGCTGTCTGGTGACTTAATGGGCTACATGGCAATGATTTCCATATAACTGATGCCCTTCGGTAGTATAGGAATTCACTTTGAGGGATTTATAGGAAATCATAGGTGGGGAACTGAGAGCTCTACTCTTGTGATCCACAGTGGGTTTTAAACAGTGTCAGATATCATTTGGAGTATCACAAGCAGAAATGTCCTCCAAAGTTTGTTTTAACTAATTTGAGAACATGAATTGCTTGAGAAACTCAGTTCTAAGGACATGTCCAACCTCAGAAACAACTGCAGATATGTGAGCTTGCAGTTCATAATAGTGCCAAGCAGAGTCCCATCTTCTATGATGTAAGACAACAGTGAGTGACCTGCTCGTTATCCCAGAGAGGTATGCACTTCCTATGCCAATTGTCCTATACTGTTGTGTACAGTAATTTGGTTCACCCTGTCTCTCTGAAACTGACTCCATTTATCGAATGTAACTTCTCCTATACAGTTTTTCTTCTCTCCTTTTTGAATAAAATTATGAGGTCAGAAGGCTTTGTTTAAAATCTATGTAAGTAATCAGTGAACTTTAGTAACTGATGCTGCAGCTACCATGGAAATCCTTCTTATTAAAAGAGTAACAACAAAGAAAGTTCTTTGGAAATCAATGGAGATATAATGTTCCCTTCAGTCCTGAAAAGTGGCAACCAGCCTAGGAGAAGAAAGCAAAGAACAAGGTTGAGGATCTGAGTGTTCAGGTGCATAGGACACAACAGCTCAGTGCACAAGGAGACAGAGAGGTAGTGCTGGGCCAAGGCTCCGCCCTTTGCTTCTGAACCAGATGACTTGTTTGGAAGCCAGTTAATTGCCAATGAAGATTTACATCTTCTCTGTATCCCAAATATGATAAGAGCAATGGATTCAGTCTTGACTGTTATTTCAGATCACACATGCATTTCTTTCCTGAAGCCAATATCTGTACTGTGCCACAAATTAAAAGGGAAGAATTAAGATACACAGTTTAGAGAACATGGAAAGCACAAGCCAAAAACCTCATGTCTACCCAAATTCTACTGATTCTAAAATCTGAAACTAAGTGATTTCAAATCGAGGTGTTTTCCAATTATCCTGAAAGAGTTCAATGGAAAATTAATAGTGAAAACCAAGGAACCAAAAGTACATACCATTTCAGCCAGTGCTGAATGCTGCACTTTAAAAATCCTAGGAAACGCATTTTAAAATCACAGTGTCAAGCGCTAAAAAGTGAAAGCTGAATGTGGAAAACCTATTCCCAGATGCCAGCACAAGAGTAACTCATGTGCTGAAGTGGTGTGGTAGAGGTTCTTAAAGGAAACACATAAGATTCCAACAATGAAGCCTTTTACACTCTTCGACAAATGGGAAAGGAATAAACAGATGTCATCAAAGTAAATGTAATGTAATTTAAAAACCAAAAAATAATGTTAAAGATCAAACTGTGTGGGAACTCAAGTTGGAAACCATGCATCTTAAAATATTTTTGAAATAAAGGAACCGATAGTTTGGAAAATTATTTAAAATTCTCCCTACTTCCTGATCATCTGTCTCCTGTTTTGCTCTGTAAGATATACACAAATGGGCTTTATTTGTCATACTAATTGTCTTTGTTCACTCAAAAGAAACTGTTGTTCTCTTGTTTGCCTTCATTGTAAGAGAGAGTCTCCTGTGTCTATGACTTCTATTGGATGTAGCATTTTAGCCATTCTCTTAAGAATATCACTGTGTAGTAACTATTGTGCTTATTGAATTACTATTTTATGAAACATACAACAAGGAAATTAAAATCCTATGTTACAGAAGATACTTAATAAACTACCGAATACAAATAGTCATGAAAGCATACTAGGAGGCACTGGGAGCCTTCTCAAGGATTGGCAAAGCCTGAAAAGAGCACAAGGTGGTGCGGGGAGGGGGGGGGGTTTGTGCTGAGAGGCCTGAGACAGAGGTCAGAGCAGGTGCTTCCTCCCATGAGAAAACACAGAGTTCACCACACTTGGCTGCCCTGACCGCTGAGCAGGTCTCCAATCTCAGGCTCCTACAATTGATGGTGGTGACAGTGTTGGGAAAAGATTCATAGTTTACATGACACAAAAGAACAATCGGTCATCAGCACTGAGGAGGAAATACAAAAGGATCATCATAGAGTGAGCAGCAGCAATGGGTGTTCCAGAACTCTTGGAACATCCTCACTGTGGCAATCACGTATTTACTTTTCCTTCCATCTCTCCCCACTCTCTGCTCAGGTCATGTAGATTTCACACTCCTGTGTTATGTGCAACCTTTTTGTCCTTCTTCCTCATCTCTGATGTATGTTGATTTGTATGTTGGGGTCCAGTTCTCAGGCTCTCGTGAACCTGGAACCCTCAAAGACCCTATCTTTCAAAAGCTCCATCATTAGCATCTGTGGCCGCGTGTTAGCTATCGCTGATGGTCATGTTCCATAATGTCTCCAGTAGAATGTGTCCAAACGTTCACAACAATGATTTTTGACATAAGTAATAGGCATGCTTAGTCTCTGTCAGGTCTGCAAATTCCTTCCTGTCACAAAGCCAGCTTACACCTTTTAGGGCCCAGCCTTTTGATGAAGCTGAGTGCCATCCTATGATCAGTGACAGTACTGTTCAACACAGGGAGACCCACATTGGAAGGCAAGAGGTGAACATAGGTTTGACTGATGCTGAATACACAGATGATCCTGTGACCAGGCAGTGAACACTCTGGCAGACTCAAACTGATTGTCCATGAAGTGAAAGTTTTGTGAAGCTGTATGAATTTATTTGTCTTCATGTTTCATAACTCATGTTAAGTACACATATGAGTTATTTTGTTTGAGATGTTTCACAACAAAACACAATGGAGTTATTTGATTTTCCTAAAGGTACAGTGATTGTGGTTTAAATCTGAGGTCAAGATCTGAGGTCCATGTATTTCTTCTGTACAGAATTATCTTCATAATGTTGTTTTTGCATCTAAGAGAAAAACAAAGGAATCAACCACTTTTAAATGTAATAAATTACATTTTACTATTTTCTTTTAATACAAAGGAATTGCATACCACATTTAAAATAGTAAGACCTACGAAAATTTGGAAAGACTTCTAAATTTTCGTTGAATATCTCCATATAGAAGATATGGAGAGTTGCCAACTTTCAATGCCACATATCATGATCTTTCTAAAACACAGTGTCATCGCAGATGTCAGTAAAATGAGGTGATGTGAGAGTCAGGTAGCAAATACACTATGTCTAAGAGTACACATAGGAAGATGTCCTGAGAGGACAGGGACACAGAGCGAGAACAACATGTGAAAATGGAGACACAGCCTGGACTTAGGCAGCACTATGCCCAAAAGAGCCACGTGCTGTGCACAACTGGGACTCAGGAAGAGGGAAGGAAGGAGTCAACTAGAGGTACCATGGGGAACACAATCCTGCCTGTGGCCTTTGGATGACTGAACCTTAGAACTGTGTCTATGATGATCTATTTCAATGGTTACTACCCACTGAGTTTCTGGTACTTTATTGTTTATTCCTAGAATTATTTCAACCTTAGTCTTGATCACTTAATAGTACGATGTTTTTTTCTTTCTTTTGTACTGTGGTTAGGACCCAATGTTACTATAGCACTAACAACATCTCAGCTCTTTGTATCTATATTTTGTGACACATGTCATTAAATTCACCAGGCTATCCTCAAAATTTCAGTCTTTTTGTCTTGGCCTCTTCAGTAGCTTCATAAAGGCATGTGCCAACATGCCCAGAAGACTCATGGTATTGCTGAATATGCATGCATTTTCTGTATGTTCCCCTGAATTTACCCATAAGTAGGATAATATTTTTGCTTACACTTTAAAACTTTATGACTGAATAATTACATGGAAAGTTTAAAATTGAGAGATTTTCTGTTTTAGAATGTATAAATATATAACTTTTAAAGATTAATAAAACTCTTAATTATTACATAGAGACAATTTTTAATTATTCTAATTATTCACTGATGTCAGTATGTCAAAGCTGACCATGTAGAAATCTGTGAGTTCACTACCTGGGATGAAAAATAAATTCTCTAGACATTCTTTATATTTGAGAGTACTACAAGAGAAGCTGCCATTTTCAGAGAGAAACTCTGATACTAGAATATAATGCAAAAAATAGAATTATGGTTAGTTATCAGGAGAAGTAAAAAGAGAAATTCTCTGAGCCATGCAGAACTATTTATACCCAAAGCCACACCAGGCTTGTGTTACACCAGTCCTCCAAAGATGTAATGTTCATAGAAATCACGTGAGGACTTTATAAAATGTGTGAAACGTACATTTTATTTATACTATCATGAAGTGAACAGCACTCCTCTGTCATACCCTCCACCATGACAATTGGGTCTTGAAGTCAGCTGGCCATGACCTGGATCCTCTAAACCTATGATACAGAATAAACCTCTCATTTATTTTATAAGAATCAGATATTTTATCTAACTCATGATAAAACTGAAAAAGTACCATACCTTTTATCTGTATTTTCTAAGATTTCCCCATATCAACTGAATTTATTAAATAATGTAGTGTTCTTATTTATCCTCCCAAATACTTACCAGTACGCCCCAATGGGCCAAGCTGTTCAGGAATCAAGGACAGAGAGGAGATATAGGGGAGGGGTTGGTTGGCATCAGGAGCAGCATGAGATTTGAGTTCATTTATGACCTGTCTGTGTTATTAGCTAATTTAGCTCTTATATCAAGGAGCCTGTGGAATAGGCAAGTCTTCCTAGAAAACTCTTGAGAGACTGGGTTCTTCCCACTGATGAGGCTAAAGTAGAAACTCAAAAGGGAGAAGAGGTAGAGGCTGCTCCTAGGGGGAGGACTCAATCTGTCCTTGGGCACAGGCAGCAAGTAGTTAAGGTTATGGTCTGAGCAGGAGCCATCAGTCCTCTGCTCCCAGACACAATGGACCTAAGCCTGGGCAGCAGCGAACACTATTACTGTTTATGAGGAAATGGATAGGCTCTCAACAAGGAAACCAGACACTTGCATCATGGCTAAGGGATGGCTTGGGTCACTAGTAAGTCCTTCTTGTCTACTACAGAGCTTCAGGCCAAGTTCAGTGTAGTTTCTGCCTCCCTCCTAGAAACAACACACAGGCATTGTTTGTAAGTAGACCCAAGGTAGGAGAACTTGGTCTTTTCTTGGGATTGAGAATATACATGATAGACCTGCAGTGAGCTTGCTTGAGCAGAGCTCTGGGGTGTCTGCACCATGGCCTTGATCTCAGTTATTTCTTGTTTGTCATCTTTCACTGCAGAGGTCAGGACTGTGTCTTGATTCTTCAGCTCACTGAATCTGACTTTCAGACTCATTCCTAAAATGTACTCTTTTCTTATCCTTTCTTCATACCACAATGAATTTTTGTGTTGTCATGGTCTCTGTCCCAGCTTGTGCTAACTCAATCACCCTTTGCCTTTGCCTCCCTCAGGGCCTCGGCCAAGCTCACTTGCACCCACAACAGTGAATATAAATCCTATGGCATTGTACGGTTTCAGCAGTACCCAGAAAGGCTCCTCAGCATTTGATGAGCGTTAAGAGCAATGGAAGCTTCAATAAAGGGGATGAAATTCCTGATTACTTCTTGGGCTCCAGCTCTGTTACTGACTGCTGTTTGACCACTACCAATATCTCTAGGGATGATGGTGACTCTGAGGTAGTGCAGATGACAACATTGGTGGATCATGTAGTTAAAAAACAGTGAAGAGATGAAAGGGGAATTTAACAAGGCTACCACAAAACACACAGAAATAATGTTTGACAACCTGAAGATTCAAAACTTTCTGTATTTTGAAATTGTCAAGATGTACTTAGAAATTACTACATCAGGATTCTACAAATAGCATGTATCTCTAGTGATGATGCAAAAAATGAAATGAAAACAACAAACTGTATTTCTCATATTTGGTCTGCTATGTTGTCAGAATGAGGTACAAACACATTTTTCTTTCAGTCTTCAGACATGAGAGTTGAATAAGTATACTCTTGTAAGTACTAACATTAAAGTGCATTTGATTTTCCAGCATTATGAGTGCCTCACAAAATTTTTCTATTTCATTAGGATTCAAAAAGTAAAAGTTTGCCTAAGTATTGAGATGCAAAAAATCAAAAGATTTCCATTTTCTCACATAATTGCTGCCTGTGTTTTGGGAGTGCAGGGCAAAAAAAACAATTACCTTCAACACGGTGAGGGTGGCAAGTGATATAAAATGATCTAGGCAATAGAGATTTGAAGCATATACAGTAAAATTTCCTGGGGAGTCCCAAGGCTGAGCATCAAGTTTTTTTTAATTATTGCTTTTTAAAAAAGAAATGTCCGTAGAAACATTTCTGGAGGTATAATAAGGACCTCAAAAAACCTGCTTCAACACACAAACAACAAAGAAGTTGTAAAGTAAATTACCTAGTCAACATTTTGAGATCTCAGGACATACATAGAATTTTTGCAGCAACTTGACTAACATCAAAAACAATACTAAAGTAAAATGTGTGTTACAACTGGTTACTTGGTGCCATTTTTTCTCTTACCCATCACTATAGCTGTCTTGAAGTGCCATGGAAGCCTTGAAAATTCATAGCTGTTAAGCAAAGCAAGAGAACAGGTTATATTGAAAAAAACCAAATAACGGGATTGGATTTCCCCAAAAAGCTCTGATAACAGGTTAATATCTTTAATTGATCTTTATGGAGCTCATGGACTATTCTCATTTCTGTGTGTTGGTCTTACTTTTAGGATATTCAGGGGTGATTTTTAGCAGAGCAGCTGTATCTTTAATGTGTTTTTCAGAGTAATCAACAGGATCAATAAGTGCAATAAGTGCAACAGATCAATAACTACAAACGGCTAAGCTAGTGATAATATAGAGACTAAAAATAGGGTGAATAAACTGGGTACAAAATACTGACATTTGAAAAGCTTTATTGATTAGAATTTTCCAAAGTAGAAGACTAAATAGGAAATATAACACTGTGTATAATTTCATGAAACAGCTTTTGTCTGATTTAGTTTCTTACAGGACTGTAGCTATCAGGACAACTGAGAAGGGGATCAAGTATCTGCTCAGTTCAATATGTTGAAAAATGTTTAGCAAAAGGAACAATGTTTATGGTATCATTCTAAGGCTGAAGTCCTGGAAGATTCATAGAGACATGAGTTTGCACACCTCCCTGGAAATTGCTCTGTGAGTCCACATGGAAAGCCAGAAGAGGTGTAAATTTGATGTCCACGCATGACCACAGCAACAACACACACACACACACAAAGCTTTCTAGTGCACTCTTTCTTGTGCACTCTTCACTGTTCATTCCATCTGGGTGTCACACAGAATCAGCAGGGCCTTTTCCACTCTGTTTGCTACTGTTCTTTGGAAAAGGCCTCATATCCAGGATCTGGTCTAACAAGCTCATGAGTGTCTCTAAATCCAATAGAGTTAATAGTCAAGATTTACCAAGACAGAGGTGCACAATGGATGTTGATGTGCTCCAGCTAGCCTACTCCTACAGAACCAGAATCATAGTCAGGTGCTCAGGTTTATTTGTAGATTCCAGGAAGAAATGTGAAGATTCTAGAAAATCTCTGATGGTTTAAATCAATATGTGCTTAAAAATAAGGGAAGGTTAAGGCAGATTTATAAATTGTAGTGCACTGAAGTATGCAAGCCATTTGGCAAATTCTAGGATGCATTGCTTCCAGATAATTAAATAAGTATCTGTCAGCATTTAGCTAACCATCATTGCATTTTAACATGGCCAGCAACCACACATGCATCGAAAACAGACATGTAAAACACAGCCAGTATATAGTAAAAAGGAAAATGTTAATAATGTTTATAGCTATTAGAGAAATATCAATGATGAAAATAACAATAAACTCTTACGAAAGGATGTAGTTTCTGTGGTAACTACAGATTCATATATTCATTTCTTGGAGTTAATGTCACATATACTTTATACTTTATTAGTTTATATTAATTAATCTTTTCCTTGGTTTCAGTATGATGCTTTCATATATGAAAATGCACGATTATATTTGACTTTTAATTGGCTTTCCAAATCCCCTACTCACTTACCTTATTTTTTACTTATTTTCTAATAATAGTTACTCTTTGTAACTGTTAATTCTGATATGTTACTTTGTTGGATAAATAATGCCTAGTATTCTTGTTGTTTATCTCAGTGGGTTATATATAAACTAGGTAAGAAATATTGGCATTAGAAAAGCCTGGTTGGTTAGAATTCTCTAAATTATAAGACTTAATAGGAAATATTTAAGAGGTTAAGTGTAGAATAGATTTATTAAGAGAAAGAAAGCTTCTGTCTGAGAAAGAGACAGAAGGGGTCCTGAGCAGATTGCCAAAAACTCTGTCTTATCCAAGGACTTTTATAGAGCAGAATCATGGGGAGAGACAGGTTCAAGGTCGGGGAAAACTGGGAACTCACACACAAGGTAAATGGGCATAAGGTGGAACATAACTAGAGTTAGCCAATAAGATTAGTAGTTCTGGTAAAATTGATTAAATTGGGGACAAATGGGGAAGCAAGTCACTTACAAAGCAGCATTCTTAGAGCAGTGACTCTTCTTAAGGTGTTGGAATGGAAGGTGACAGGGAACTAATTAGACTATCAGTCCTTAGGATGTAGATGCATTTGTTTGATCCTTTGTCTTGAGACTTGGCCCACAGCAAGAGGGGTCTGTCTCACCTGCAGTTGCCAGGTATGTGGGCTTAGGCACTGGCTCCTTTGAGGACATAGCCCTGTCTCACTACCTAGAATATTTCTCACTAAGCTGCCTGCAACAAAAACACATAGAAACAAAGTAGAGCTCACCATTGACACTTAACTTCCCACATCAGTCCAGAGCACTTGTGGGCACTTCACTTGCAACAAAATCCATACCGCACCCTGGGCAGATGACCTACAGCTACCAGGATTTCAGGCTCAGCACCGAGATCTGCAGGACAGAGTGCTGGATGTCTCCATGTTGCCTGGCTTCCCTGCTCAAGTTTCAGGGTCCTCATGAGTCACAGGTGGACAGTATTCAGAGGTTTCACATGAAATAGCCTCCCGCAGACTAATTTTTCCCTTTCTGCAGCACAGATTATTTATTTATGTCTCCTACATGAAATCTAATGAGGATCCGTGTTTCCAGGATCCTTCACTCAGTTCTGCTGATACAGCTGCCTTTTGCATTACCCCGCCCCCCCTCCAGGACAGACAATCACACTCATCTCTACCTGGAGCATTGGCTATAGAGGTTAAACTGTGGAGTCCAAGGAAGTGTTCTCTGCTCAAGATGTTATGAGCAGTAATGCTCTGGTCGGTGGATAGGAAATGATCTCTGATTACTTCTTAGCTTTCCACTGTAACTTGGATCAGTACCTAACTAACCAGTAACATCCCAAAATAAAAGGATTGTGACCATCACTATGAGAAAGAATATAGCAGTAGAGACAGATTCTGTGCAACTACCAGTGACACATGCAGAGCACTTTAGCAGATCTTCTGGCAAAGGTAAACTCTGCCAAATTCTCTTTCATTGTCCTAACCTTCCGCTTAAAAAAGAACAAAACAACAACAACAAAAAAAACTCTCCTGACCCCTGCCTATAGCGCTATCACTGTATAAAACATTTATAGTTCTCTACATATTTAAGAGAGTGATGTCTTATTTTTTTTATGCTGTCAGATCTTGGTCCATAGAACGTATCTACATATTGTAACCCGTTTCGATAATCTCTTGTCATATAGAAGAGTCAATTTGGTCATGTGTGGTTGTCACAGGTCATCTGACATAGATTTCCTTGGTGGAAAAGTATTCACAGTGCAGTGCACTCATACAGGAACCTCTAACATCAGCTGCTCGGTTATCTGTTTCTCCAAAAGCATTGATCTGCTGCCCACTCAAATCAAGAAACTGAATATTTCCCAGGAGAGAAAACACTCTGACCCTGACCTCTACTATCCATTTTCACACAAGATGCATCTGGACTGCAACCATCTTAAACTGCTTCCGTGTGCAATGGTCTGGAGATGTGAAAAACAAAATGAGAAAATCTCCCACATTGGAGAGGTGAGAAGTCTCCTTTAACACTACCCTGGAGACCTGCAGGGGGCATTCACTGTCTCCTGCAGATACATGAGTCAATAATAGGACAAAGTAAAATAAAGCAAGTCAAGTTAAGCATATATTAAACAAGACTTTCTAGCAGTGAGAATCCATGGCACTCACAAAGTATATTAAATCACAGAATATTGAAGTTATGCCATTGGCAAAAGAGATATTATGTGCTCTCTGGTCTTTTAGCTATGACTAGATGTGTTCCCTGTAACCAGCAGTGAGCAGCCCAAGGAAGGGAATATTCACATAGAGGACCTTGATCAGAGCATTGAGTCCAGTGCTCACTGATAGGCTCAGCTGCTGTGTCATATGTGAGACCTTGCACGGAAATTTGAGCAAGTTTTGATTAATCAGAAGATGTTGTTTCCCAGGAATTGCACAGAGAAGAAATCAAAATTTCTTTCTCCTCATT